ACATAAGAGTCACAACCATCCATTTCTTAGTTATGTCCTTTTAAAGCAAAAAAGGTTCCTTATATACTTAACATTTAACTCTAGATTAATTACATCACAATTAATCATACGATTCTTATCTTTTACTTCTATTACATAATTAATCAATCATTCGATACTTATTTTTTCTTAGTCTTATATTTTTATGCGTCTTGATCGATTCTTGATTGATCATGGTTACACGCCCGAATCATGCCGTTTGATAATGTTATTGCACAATTCCAGGATCAATTTCGCTGTAGAACTGATTTTGGCTATGACACTGATTCTTTCAGTAATACAGTATACGTTTAAGATTGAGTTTGCATTGGGTTGTTAAAATTTCTACATATCATGAATTAACTATAAAAAAATTTAGTTTCAACACACTATATGTAGTTAAGATTGAATTTGTTTGTATTAAAATTATATTATAATTTGCTGTAAAAAATTCAACTACAGAACTTACCATTTGATAACACACAGTGTGTGTATTAGAGTTAATTATATTGAAAATTATCATAATTTCTATTGTGTTGCTATAAAAAATTTTATCACAGAACTTTGCAATTCCAGTGATACGCAATGTATGTTTATAATTGATTTCTATCATGAGTTACTGTAAAAAAAATTGTGATTCAGAACTCATCATTATCCCGGTTGTAAACTGTGTAGTTGAAATTAAATTAGTTTGCAATAGAATTATCTTGCAATTTTTGTAAAAAAAAAAAAAATTCAGCTACTGAACTGAACTTACTATTCTGATAACATAGTGTGCATTGGAACTATCGCGATTTCTATCATATATTACTGTAAAAGATTTCGTTACAGAATTAAATAGACAGTGATAGTTGAGGTTATGTTTGTATTAGAAAAAATAATAAGTTTCTGTGAAAAATTCTGCTACAGGACTTACTCATCATTTCAGTGATATACGATATAAAGTTAAAGTTAAGTTAGCTCGCATTGGAATTCCTATAATTTGTTGTAAAAGATTTAGCTACAAAACTTACTCAACATTTCAGTGACATACATTGAGAGATTAAAGTTGCATGGAAACATCGTGATTATAGTAAAAAAATCATACATGCTGTTGCGATAATGAAAATATGTAGTAAAGGTTGAGTTGGCTAGTATTAGAATTATTGTTAATTTACTAAAACAAAGTAAGGGAGCTATCATTTATTATGTAATTATAGCCCCCCTCCAAAGTCAGTTATTTGACAATTACAAGTTATAAAGTAATCATAATATAAACTCTATACGATTGGTTATTTTAGAGCTTACAATTGTCAAACTTTAGAACTTGTAATTGTCAAATGACTGACTCTGGAGGGGGCTATAATTATGTAATAAGTGTTAGTTCCCTAGTAAAATCAAAAAAAAAAAGAATGCATGATAGCAAATCTGTAATTGTTGCTCCCAATTACTGAATTCATTGTTTAGTGTTACATCTAAAATTAGAAATTACGGGGCAACAATTATGGATCTGTTATTGTTTTATTAAAGATATTTAGTTTCAGTAAATTAACAATAATTCTAATACTAGCCAACTCAACTTTTACCACATGTTGTTTGTTACCGCAATAGCGTGTATGATTTATAGAATTCACGATATTTTCAATAACTTTAATCTCAAAATGTGAAATTTTCGGGTAAGTTTTGTAGCTGAATCTTTTACAGAAAATTATGAGAATTCTGATGCAAACTAACACAACTTTAAACTTATACTGGAATGATGAGTAAGTCCCATAGCAAAAATTTTTATAGCAACTTATGCTAAAAATTACGATTTTTCTAATGCAAACATAACTTCAACCATCACTGTGTATAAATAGCGAATTATGAAATTTTTTCTAGTAATATATAGTAGAAATCATGATAGTTCCAATGCAAACTAACTCAATCTTAACTAAGCACTGTGTTACCAGAATGATGTAGCTAGATCATTTTTTACAGAAATAATTTTATATCAAACTAATTAAATTTTAACCACACAGTGTACAACTGGAATGATAAGAGTGAATTCTGAAAACAGAATTTTTTATGATAACTTATGATAGAAATTATGAAAACCACGTATACTGTATATCACTGGAATTGCAAAGTTCTGATAATAATTCAAATACAACTAATTCAACTCTAATACACACACTGTGTTCTGTAGTTGAATTTTTTACAGCAAATTATAATATAATTTTAATACAAACAAATTCAATCTTAACTACATATAGTGTGTTGAAACTAAATTTTTTTATAGTTAATTCATGATATGTAGAAATTTTGACAACCCAATGCAAACTCAATCTTAAACATATACTGTATTACTGGAAGAATCAGTGTCACAGCCAAAATCGGTTCTATGGCGAAATTGATCCTGGAATTGTGCAATGGCATTATCAAATGGCATGATTCGGGTGTGTAACTATGATTAATCAAGAATCGATCAAGACGCATAAAAAATATAAGACTAAGAAAAGATAAGTATCGAATGATTGATTAATTATATAATAGAAGTAAAAGATAAGAATCGTATGATTAATTGTAATGTAATTAATCTAGAGTCAAATGTTAAATATATAAGAAACCTTTTTTGCTTTAAAAGGACATAACTAAGAAATAGATTGTTGTGACTCGTATGTGCGTAGTAGGGGCACATGAGGAAATACCTAATAATACACTATCTGGCAGACAAGTGAAGCGAAGAAATTCTAATAGGGAAAAGCAATGAAAGCACCATGGACTGGTTGGGGCACCACAATCAGCCAGGATCACCTCGGAAGTTCAGGTGATGGATGATCTTAATAGATGACATTTCAAATATGCCACATCAACTGTGATAATCAAAAACCTATTTTGAATAATCAAGAACCTGAACATTCTGTTAGGAAAATTAGATAACTTCACTTATTCATATTATGTAACAAGATAAATATATGTTGCAGGAATTTCATAGACCATTACCCAAACCTCCGGGCAATTCTGGCTGATTTATTACTAGAATGCTGATAGAAATCAATAATTTCTAACTCAACCTTAATCACAATATAAATCACATTAGTTTCTAACTAAGTGTATTACCAGAATTTTGTAATAGATAGAAATCACAAAAATTTTTTTAAGAAAATTGCATTATTTGTATTAGAACATAAGCAGAATAAGTTTAAATAAATTTTTTTTAGTTAATATAATTTGACCAAAATTAATTAATGGCTATAAAAAACTATTAGCTATAAAATTCCATCAATTAGCTATAAAATTTTAACTATCAGCTATAAAATTCCCAACTATCAGCTATAAAATATCTAACTATCGGCTATAAAATATCTATTTCTAACTAATATCAGCTATAAAATTTCCAACTATCGGCTATAATATTCTAACTATCGACTATAAAATTTATAACTATCAGCTATAATGTTCCTAACTATCGACTATAATATATCAGCCTAAAATCAGATGTTGATTCCCCTCTGAATTGTTATAAAATATCGGAGGCCGAATTGTATATGTTCAACCAGTGATAGCTTTAGAGTTTATCACTTATTGTAGGCATAGCACTTGTTGTTTAAAAGTAGTTCTCATATACTACTTGCTAACAAATCCAAAGTAGTAATTGGAACCGGTTATCAGAATTGAATTTTATAACTGGGTCTAACTAGTTATCTATTATAACCGGGTTGAAAATTTTTTAAATCAATAAGCCAGTTTTATTATAACCAGATTCAACCGATTAATTGGTTGATTTCAACCAGATTCAACTAATTAATCAGTTGATTGCAACCAGTTGTATTCGGTTGATTATAACTAGTTTTATTCAATTCGTTAAAAGTAATATTATTTATAGAGAATATTTTATCTATTATAGTTATGAATTTTTACTTGGCATATAAGTAGATTGGAATATGGAAGATTAATAAACTTAGTTTCTTGTATTAAAAAATAATTAAAAACTAGAATTTATCTTTACAAGGACCCACCCACTATTTCAATAAAACTTTTTGTAGGCAAAGAATTTTTACAAATCAGTCAGGCTTAAAATTTTAAATGCCTGTCTGATCAAGAGAAAAAACTTTAATTAAACTATTTAAACATGCCTTCATGAATAGATTAATTATTGCTATTGTTAATAGTTTTAAAAACTTTTAATAATTTTGGTCAAATAGATATCAGGTTTATTTTTTACACTTCTATAAAGTTCATATCGGTTTTATTTTTTAACAATCAAAAAAAAATACAAGCGGAATAAAACCAATACTCTTATGATAAAACTAGCCTTTTAATATTAAGTAAAAGAATTTTACTAGTTTAAAACTACTATTTAATATAATATACTAATGCTATAAGTTAGAGATCTCTCAATCATTTATATAAAAGCTTTACTGTATAAGTTTAAATTATATGCTAAGATAAGTGTTTTACTTTTCTAGTTATTGATTCTGCCTTAATCTCTACACTTTCTTTCTCTATATGATGCACTACTAATATCTCAATTCACCTCAACATGTTAATCATGAACTTGGTTCATGGTGTCACATTATCACGGGTCACGACTTTAAAATTGCGATATTCAATATTGTGCTTAATAACAATGACATAATCATAAATTTTATCAACTTAAATTATTATATGAAAAAGTTCTAGTTATTAATTCAAATTCTCTTTCTTTTAATTAAGGGTAATGGGCCTATGAATTTTACAGGACAAGAAATAATTATTCAAGGGACAAGCTATTAGAGAATAACACTACTGTACTTCTGAATTGTTGAACTCAGAAAAGTCAAAGTGAACTTTTACTTCTTATATAATTTTCTTTACATACATTAAAATTTTGAATACTAATTTATACACCGATTGTCACAAAATATCGGGCAGGAACATTATTTAGAAATAATACCCTATGAAAATAATATAAATGATTTCAAAAATAATGTTTATATGCATCCCAAAATAATATACACCCTGTATAAGGTGCCAATCCAATGGAAGCAGGTATATAATATACAGACTGAATTAATGAATATCGGGTGCATACTAGTAGAAAAGTTTTTCTATATATAGCTGAATATCAGCAGCATATTGGTAGCATATTGCTAAGGTAGATTAATATCAGCAACATAATACCCCGATATCTTACTCTTAGCACTCTGGGCCTAAAAGTAAGTTATTGGGGTATTCCATTATTTTGCTGTTATTTTGCTGATATCAATCTATGCTGCCAATATGCTTCTAATATTCAGCAGGTATTTGGCAGAGTAACGGGTACATATCAGGAAACTTTTCTCCCAGTATACACCTGATATTAATTAATTCAACCTGTGATAATTTGAAAAACTGGGTTCTGGAAAATTATCATTGTCTTAAAATAGCATCCATGCACGTTGCAAAAGTTAAAACTGCTCTAGAATCACAAAAAGTGGGTCTCATAATATAATCAATGCTAAAACTAATCCAAACATCACACTATTATACTTAAATTTATACTGTTATATCAACATACGTTTTCGAAGATCTTATATGACCGCTATGTCACATGATCAATCACTGGTAATCTTATAATGTATAAATAATAAATTAATTAGTAAATATATAATGTATTAAAATGCATATATTACCTAGTAAATAAGTAGTAATTAAGTTATTATTTATATTATATATTACGGATTATTATTTGGTTAGAATTTAAATTTTTTAACTCGTGAATAATATGATTAGTGAAGGTCCAATGTCACACAAATGCCGTAAATTCTACTAATTCTACAAATTCTAGCATTTCTACAAATTCTATCAATTCTATTGATTTTATTGGAACGCATATATCAAATCAGACATAGGCCCTATTTTAAAGCTGATTTTATAGTGTTTCTTATAATAGAAACATCAGCCTAAACTAGAAAAGCTAGGTCGTACTATTTTAGATTATTCTAACTATACATACTATGTAAAGTATAATAAAAATCAGTTATTTCCATATTCGAAAATATATAAAATACCATTAATTTCTTTCTGTAAATTGTCAGTTCCCAACCCATAATTAATAAATAAAATCTAATATTCGTGTTTTCATACATGGATAAAAATATATTCAATTGTTAAGTAAATTAATGATCCTAATCACGTAACCATTGTAAAGAGATTTCACAATCAGATATATTTAGTTTATTGTCAGATTACTCTATACGACTACTTGCATTCTCATATATATTTAACTGTGGCCTCTTTCGCAAAAGCAAATCACATAAAACCTATTATTTTAACACTCATATCGCAATATTAACTAAAGCATGTGAAGCACTTATTAATTATCAACGTCCAATTGCATCAAGCCGATTAAGAGGTGTAACAACACTAAACACTACCTAACCTAAACCCTAATAACAGTAGACTACGATCGAGGTGTGGTAATATTTGTCAGCAATTGGGTGTTAGATAGAGCTCTAGATTATATTATAAAGTTCTAATTTAGAGTTATGGGGGATTGGAGTGCGATACTATATATCTAGTATTAAATTATCGAGCAATTTCTATTGCTCATTGAAGCAAGAAGACATTGTATTGTATCACTAGGAACCGGGAACCGGTGTGAGTCCGAAGCTTTAAATTTTAAGAGAAAAGATGCTTAATTTTGAATTTTTGATCAAAAATTCAAAATTAAGCATCTTTTCTCTTAAAAGTTAAAACTATAAGGTAAATGTATACCAATATGATTTATTTTTATGCGTAGAACAAGTTTACTTAGAGCATAAAGGTAGATTTAATTAATAGAATTTTTGGATTGTAATATTTTACATAATTTTATTAATAAAATTATGAAAAATATTACAATCTACAAAATTTTACTATCTAATTCTACCTTTAAGCTCTATATAAACTTGTTCTACGCATAATGATACATTATATTAGCATATGGAATCTTTGCTAGGAAAATCACTCTTCAAGGTTTTCTGATCAGACCAATTCAGAAAAGTTTAGATTGGAATGCTAGTTCTTATTCATATGTAAATCACTTTTTGCTTTATTTATTCGATAGTTTATTAAATAAACTACTGAATCAGTAAAGTAAAAAAGAGTTTACACATAAATAAGAACTAGCATTCTGGTCTAAACTAGCACAATCAGAAAATTCCGAAGGTGATTTTCCTAGCAAAGATCCTATATGTTTATCTTATAGCTTTAAATTTTAAGAGAAAAAATACTTAAATTTGAAATTTTGATCAAAAATTTAAAATTAAGCATCTTTTCTCTTAAAATTTAAAATTATAAAGTAAATATATACCAATATAGTGTATTTTTATACATAGAACATGTTTACTTAGAGCATAAAGATAGATTAATTAATAGAATTTTGTGAATTATAATATTTTACATAATTTTATTAATAAAATTATGGAAATTATTACAATCCACAAAATTTTACTATTTAATTCTACCTTCAAGCTCTAAGTAAACTTGCTCTACGCATAAAGTTATATCATATCAGCATATGTATACCTTATAATTTTAAATTTTAAGAGAAAAATGCTTAATTTTGAATTTTTGATCAAAAATTCAAAATTAAATATCTTTTCTCTTAAAATTTAAAATTATAAAGTAAAAGTATACCAATATGGCATATTTTTATGCATAGAACAAGTTTACTTAGCAGTCACGCAATTTGTCACACAGATCACTAGGGTAAAATTTTTAATATGAAATTTAAGTAATCGATATGCCTATTTAATAGTAAATTGTGTAAATTGCAATAGTAGACTTTTTTTAATCACTATTTTCAGGGGTTTCTTAAAAGGAAACCACACTCACAAGACTAGACACAATTGATTAGCTATACAAATACTTTATTGATTTGTAGCTTTAACCAAGAAAAAAATAAAGCCGAGAAAAAACATGCTCTTAAAAATAGCTTTTCGTTCTATTTTATATAGTATTTGCAATATGACCAAACCTTCTTGCTTTGAAACTTTTTAAGCAAAAATACATATACTTGGTTGAGATTATAATTTTCAAGAAACGTTAAAAGAATTCAGAACTATTATTGTTTTGGTTTGTTCACACCCAAATCTAAAATAATAATAATAGATCTATTTGTTATTAATAATATACAATATTAGAGTAGCTGTGTGACACAGTGGCCCTAAAACCAGAACTGTTACATAAGTATATCTTGTTTCATTTTCATTCAAATGAAGGCATTTATTTATTTTTAATTATTTTTTATTCTAATTATTTTTTGACAAAAAAAATTTGCCAAAAATAATTTTAGAGATGTAATTTCTATTATTTTGTTTTTTTTTGCATGACATCCCAACAATCAGCAGCCTTACTTAAATAAAATAAGTATAAGATCCAATTTCATTCAAACAAAGACATTTATTATTTTTGAAAAATAGACAAAAAGAAGGAGCATTCGACGAGAAATGATTACAGAAATAATTTTTAGTCAAAGACAAAAAATTCATTTTTAAAATTTCAAATTCTATTTTTTAGCAAGATTCATTGGGGTGTCACATCAACTATTTAATCAAAACTATGTTAGTTATATTGATCATTTTATTATGATCAGATTTTTATCAAAAAATTAAAATAATTAATCAAATATAATTTTACTTTACTTAATTATAAAGAAAAGCACAAATCTAAAGTTATCATATAAATATTGCATTTATTTTTTCATTTTTTTTTAATTGAAAAAACTGTTCGTTGAGACTGTTTAAAAGTGACTATGTTTTATTTTTACTAAAGTTTTAATTAAGTTTTGACTTATATGTTTAGGATAATTTTTTTATCCTAATTAATAAATTTTCAAGCATTCTTTAAAGTGAATATTCAAAACTCACATATTAATAAAAAAAAAATAAAACTGAAACTTTATTCTTTAAATTTATATAAATAACAAGTAAAAATTTTAAGGTGATCGCATACCTATTAGCTATATAAAGTAGGTCTTGTTGTATAATATAAATGTTAATCTATAATAAAATAAAAATTTGCTATTAGCATATTATTTATACTTTTTTTTTTTTTTTTTTTTTTTTTATTGTTAATGTCATATATAGAAAAGCGAATAACTTTTACAAAGTATTACATGAATACATAATAGTTAAACAGATAGAATTTCTATAGCATCAAAATTAACGTAATATTACACCTCCAATTTTCTATCTAATTTAAGTTAGTAAACTACTATTAGCTAAAGAAAGGCTGGGGAAAAACCTTGTTAGTATAAGTTAGTAGTATATATATATGTATAAAGATTGAGATAGAGCTAAAAGATATTGTAAAATAAATAATAATAATAATAAAGAGTAAAGTTAGATAGATAAAAAATAAAATAAAAGATAATAATAATATTTAAAAAAGAAAAAAAAATATAAAAATTTTAATTTATAACTTTGCAGTACTATGTATTTAAAGTATAATGTATAAGAGAACTTATAAGAAAAAGCTAAATAAATAATAATTAAAGTGGAAAAAAGAAAAAGAATATATTCATATTGTAGTAGGTAATGCTACCTCGGTGCAACAGGTCTAAACATGCTACCAGAGGGTTTGAACGTACAGCCCTGCAGTACAATATGCCCTAACCACTGTACTACAAACAGTATGATAATGAAAATCATTTTTGTACGTTTTTTGAAAGTTTGATTTGGGTAAGATTTACCAATTAGATTGATTGATTTGATCCCGTGTTAATTGTCAGAAGATTTTGTATTGTACAATAGATATATTTATTTTAAGGTTTTTTGTTTAGAGTTGGTTTAAAAATGAGTCGACGAAGTTATTTTAGATGTCATTTGAAAAGGAGTTTTAAGAGAAGTTTGCCTCCAAAAGAGATAGAAGATTTGCTTCCAAAAGAAAAAGAGGATTTGGTTTAGGATAATGTTGCAGCTTTAACTCGTAAAGAAGAAATGTTTTTGTTGCAAGTTGAAGTTGTAGAAAACATTAGTAAAATTTCAGAAAAGCGGGCTAAAGAAATTTATCCTTATAATTTTTTATCAGTTGGGTTTTCAAGAGTGGATAGGTATGTATTTGTGTTATTAATATATATAGGTTGACAATAAAGTTAAATTTAAAAAGTTAATAAAAAGAAATTAATTGTATAGTTTACGAAATGAGGAGAAGTCTATAAAGAAAAGGTTGAAAGAAATAGAAGACTGAGTTCAAGAACAGAAAGCAAAACAAAATTTAGAAAGTGACAGGATGAATATGTTTTGAATTATTTTTTTGATTTGAAAAGAAAGTATACACAGAGGTTAGAGAGGTTGAAGATGTTGTGTCAGGTGAAAAATTTTGGCGAAGTTAGCAATAGTATAGATGTTGTAGTTAGTAGTTGAAGTATAGAGTTTGTATTATGAAAAGAGTTTTTTAGAATTTAGTATAGTTTTGAAAATATCAAATCTT